CTGAGCCTCCTGTCCCGTTGTGACATTGACGCCCGTGTAAGGCCACACCCCATCTCTCTGCCTTCTCCGGGCGCCAATCCTTCCACCAGGCAGGAGTCCTCAGCGTCTGTCTTGCCTTCGCACTTTCCAAACCCTTCTCCAATCCACCTGATTTTTTATTTTTGCCATGGCCACCAGGCCTGCTCAGCCCGAGTGGCTCCTGTTCTAGCTGGTCGCCTGCCCCCAGCCCGTTCCCTGGAGCTGCCTGATGCCACCTTGACCTCTGTAGCTCCTTGCCTCCCTCCTACTTGGTGCTTCGCATGAGCCTGGCAGATTCACCTGCTTGTTTGCTTAGTTAAGTGCCCATCTCTCTCCCTCAACCGATAATCCCCAGCACAAGGACTGTGCCTTTTTTTTTTTTAAACTACAGAATCCTGGCACCAAAACCACCTTGACCCAGGGAACGTGCCCACGATGCGCTGAATGAACGAACGAGGGACAAGAAGCTCGAGCTGAAGCATGATGTCCAGGCCCTGAAAGCCCACCTTCTCTCAGCTAAGAGCCCCAGCCAGAGAACCTGCGCTCACCTCCTTCTCGAAGGCACACCGGGAGATCCCCCACATCCGCAGGCTAACGTCCCGCAACACTCAGCTGCAGAGGTCTGACGTTACTAGAACCTCAGAGTGATCTGTGTGGCTTCTTGGGGAACCCCAGCCAGAGGGGGTTCAACGCTACAGCATGGGAGCAGGAGTAAAGCTTGAGGGGGGAAGTAAAACCACGCTTTCCGCAGCGCAAGCGTGGGTGCTATTATTTCGGGAATGCGCTGATGCAGCCACTTCGTTGGACCCATGACGGCTTTGGCGCGGCAGAGGCCAACGTTTTGAGCTCAGGATACAAGAGGCAGGGGACGCATCAGAATAGCACGAGGCCACAAAAAAGAAGGGCGTACTTTCACGTGCTACAACATGGATGAACCTTGGCGACACGCTACGCAAAAGAGCCGACACAAAGGAAGAACCGCACATTGCGTGATTCCATTTATACGGGCCATCGAAGAGGCAAGTCCATAAAGACAGAAAGTAGATGGGTGGTTGTCTGGGGCGGGGCGGTGGGGGTGTATTGGAGGTCGCGGCTAAAGGTGCAGGGTTTCCTTCGGGGACGACGAGAAGGTTCTTAAGTTAATTGTGCTAAGGGTTGCGCGATTCCGTGCCTAGACCAAAACCAACTGCTTCGCGTGCCTTAACGGGTGACCTGGGTGATCTGTGAGTCACCCCTGAATATGCTACAGAGAGAAAAAGGGAGGACTGGCCAGCAGGAGAAGGGGTTGCCACGAGCACAGGGACGGGGCTCCTCAGATGCGGGACTCTGTGCTCTCCCTTTGCTCCTATGAATCATTTCGGGATGAACAGTCCACACGTCAGGATTACAAACCAGAAACCCGCCGCACCCGCAGGGAGTTAATTAGTGCCGGTTCACTTTGAGGTAGCTTTACAAAGTTGGAATCTAATGAACCAAGCATTTCATTTTCTTGCTCGAAGACACCGGAAAACCGAGACATGCTGCCTTGTAACATTTTTAATGGCTTTAGGGTGAGGATTTGCTCTGTTGACTCACCGCTGTGGGTTTGCAGATAGAATGGCAGCAGAGAGAGTTAGAGCCAAACACCGAGACGGGGAGGTTAACCAGGACCCAAACAATACTTCCGGGAGCCTGCATGACGTATCCATACATTTTAGAGCCTCCTAAGCACTCAGATTAAAATCACTATTCTCAACGACATCAGGTTTACCCCATTCACTTGTTCTTTTCCTATTCTCCCCGTTTGCGGCCAATCTGATTGCTGAAAAGGCTTTTAAAATTGTTTTTTTTAACGTTTATTTCTTTGAGAGAGAGAGAGAGAGAGAGAGAGAGAGAGAGGGCATGAACGGGGGAGGGGCAGGGAGCGAGAAGGAGACACAGGATCCGAAGCAGGCTCCAGGCTCCAAGCTGTCAGCACAGAGCCCGATTCAGGGCTCGAACTCACGAACCGCGAGATCGTGACCTGAACCGAAGCCCGACGCTTAACCAACTGAACCACCCAGGCTCACCCTGAAAATACTCTTAAAACAAATTCTGACCCAAGAACTTGGACGGCTCTTCTAACATGAACAGCATTTACAAGAATAAAGGATAGAAAAAGAGACTCTTGAATATTGGGGAAGATAACACACTTCCAGGTGTAGCCTCAGTTTGGCGTGCTGCTGGAAAATGCCTTTCGTTCCCATGATCACCTCCTCCCAAAGAGGCAGGGTCTTCCGTGGAGAAGTTTGTTGAGGGTGCGTTCTTACCACAGGCATAGGTGACAGAGAGGTATTTTTGCACTCCTGGCAGACACGGGCTCCCGAAATGGTGATTGTTGGCGATGATTTTGCATCTCTGCTTCCCGTAGCACCTCCTGGATAACACTTGCAAAGCTGAGTAAGACAGACAGTCTGAAAGGCAGGGAACAACGGGAACGTTATGGTACATTCCGTATCTGGCCACCACGTGGCTCTTGTTATTTTCTGTAAGGAAATACACGGAGCTGACTTTCAAATCTCACGGACATGGTCTCTCTGGTTATTTTCCGCGTCATCAATGCTTTACCCTATAATCGTACAGGCTAAGTACCTATTAATCGTACGGGCTAAGTACCTTATAGGCAGAGCTGGCCTCCTGACATGTGCTAGAAGGGTCCGGTGCTTACTGTAACGCCCTGCAGTCACCACCTTGAAATTCTTACGTGGTTTTTGAACAAGGGGTCACATATCCTCCTTTTTGCGTCAAGCCCCGCAAATTATGTAACGGGCCCTGCATACAGAACAGGCAAAATATGTAGAAAGTTGAACGAAGGTCCTTATTTCTCTTATGCCCTTTGCCACTCCTTAAAACATTTTATTTGCCTATGAGAAACTTAACAGAAGACCACGGGGGAAGGGAAGGGGGAAAAATAGTTGCAACCAGAGAGGGGGGCAAACCCGTGAGAGACTCTTAAATACAGAGACCAAGCCGAGCATTGATGGGGGGGTTGGGGGATGGGGAAAATGGGGGATGGGCACGGAGGAGGGCACTTGTTGGGATGAGCATCGGGTGTTGTATGTAAGCGATGAACCACGGGAATCTACCCCCGAAACCAAGAGCACACTGTATACACTGCATGTTAGTCAACTTGACGATGAATTATATTTAAAAAAAATAAAAATGAAATGTGTAACCCCAAAATATATATTTAATTTGTCTAGTTTGAGAATCCATCTCCCCTACGTGAACATAAGCTCCACGAGGACAGGGACTCTTCCTGTCTTGTTCATCCTTGAACCCCAACACGCTGATGAATGAACGAAACGTACTAATAAACGTGAGGCCATGTTTCTCAGCACCTGGCACAACGCCATCGCAATCAGTAAATATTAATTTAACATGCACACAGGATGAGGTGCAGCGACGCTATGTGCCATCAGGAAGACAAGTCGGAAGACATCTACTTTTCACTCACAGGATGGGCTGCAGCTGGAGAGACAACCCACCCACCCCCCCGCCCACCCCATGAGACCTGATGTCTTAACAATGGAAAACAGAGAGTGAGCGTCAGCAGTGAATGACCAGGACAAGAGGTGCCGGGGTCAGAGATGGGAGAGATCAGTGTGAACCAGAGTGTGGTCATGACAGGCTGTGCGGAGTAGAGGGGCTTGGTCAAGGGAGAAAGAGCATGAATTAGGCAGAGGCAAGTAAGAAAGAAAGGCATAAACGCCAAGGCAAGTGGGCTAGCGTCACTCGGGGAGGCTAGAGGGCTCATTGGGAGCTGGAACAGTGGACGCGGGCAGGGAGGCCATACAGAATGATCAGGAAAAGGAAACTGGAGAGGGACAAAGTTTGCCTTCGAACGCCTGGCCAGAGACAGATGTTACTCTCCAAGTAACATGGAGCCTAAGAAGTGGACGGCCTGATGCTTTTGTCCTTTAGCGACAGTGTACGGGAGCCCCCGGGAGAGAAAGAGAACCAAGCTCGGGGAGACCGGTTCGGAAGCGATTTTAATAACACACACTGGGAGGAATTAAGAGCTTGAAGAGGAGAGAACAGAGGCGAGAATTTTGGAGACCTTACAAAGTTCGGTCCACTTATAACAACAGCTAACATTATGACAAACTCTAAAAATTGAGAAGACTGACAATCCCAAAGGTTGAACAAGACACGGATCCGTGGAAACTCCTGAGCACGGCCCGTGGGGGTGTAGATCGTTCCTGGACCATACATCTCCATCTTTTACATTGGCACATTTCACACCCTCAGACTCCATGGATTTACTCTCAAGAGGTCCCATCTGCTGTCACCAAACCCTGCAGGATTTGCAGTCAAGAGGTCTGAGGATGGGATGTACGGTCTCTGCTTTGGGAGGAAGTCGCTAGCTGTCTGAATTACGAAATTCCTAGAAGTCTGATGTAACTGTTGTTGTTTTTTCTGTCACAAAGGAAATGCCTGTTTGTAGTCGAAAACTAGAAGAGCCCAGAGAAGCCCAAACTAGGAAACCAGAAATTCCCAGCGAATCCAACCATCGAGGAAAAGAACTAGTAACCTTTAAGGAACCTCCTTCTGGTCTCTTCTATGTGTGACTGTCCTTCCCCCTCAATGGTGGCATATACCTATTACTCTGCATGCTCCTTCTTCCTCATTTGTTAATGTGTCTGTGAAAATTTTAACACGAACATCACTGCGAAGAATTGCACGGTTTTTCATCTTATGGATGCGCCGGCTCTATGTTCAATACTCAATACAATCATCATTCCGATGGTTTCTGGAGTGGAACCTTAGAAGCAGTTGTGTATGGGGCGCCTGGGTGGCTCAGTCGGCTGAGCATCTGACTCTTGATTTCTGCTCAGGTCGTGACCTCGTGGTGTGGGACAGAGCTCTGAGTTGTGCTCTGCACTGACAGCGTGGAGCCTGCTTGGGGTTCTCTCTCTCCCTCTCTCTGCCCCTCCTCCTCCTCCCTCAAAATACATAAATAAACTTAAAAAAAAAAAAGCAGCAGTCCTGTGTGGGACATCCGTTGAACTAAATATTTGCACACGAGCACGACGCTTGCCGCAGGAATTCTTGGAAGTAGATTGTTTTGTCAAAGGCTATTCAAAATATTAAGGCTTTTGATACTCACCGCCGAACTGTCATCCAGAAAAGTTCTACCCATCCACGCTCCCGCCAGAATGGAACGAGGACCCTATAAACCTTATATTTTCTTAGGACTTGTGACAAGCGTGATTTACAGAGGCAGGTGTCTGCACCCTTAAATTACCCTGGGACTAAAAGAATTTATCTTGGTCGGAGTGAAACCCACAGTGTGTTTTCAGGAAGCGGCCCAAGGTAATTCAGGTCTGACTCAGGTCTGACCATATCCTTGTTGACACTGAGCTCTGAACTGTTCGCGGGATTTTTTTTTCCAGCAATTATCTCCCTCTCAGGCTGATTTTGTTTGCGCCCTCTCTTCCTGGCAGACCATCCTCCACCCCCAATGCATCTGATAACACGATATTCAACCATTTAATTCAATTTTTTTCTCGCGATTGTTTAGCACTGAAACTGAAGGCAATTAATCCTCACAACGTGTGTTTATTTTGATAATTAGGCCGCTCTCAAGTGACTCTGTCTTGGCAGTGGGGGCCCCTGGCACCTTAATCTTTGGCTGGAAAGTTCGAGGCCCACCCACACTTGGCCTTGGGATGGCCTTAGCCCAGCCTCTGAGGCCCACTGGGTGGTTTTTCTCGTTCTCTTATTAAGAAAGCAGCAGGATCCCTGGAGCCCACCCAGAAAATGTAACTGCAGCAGGAAATGACATGTCACAGTGGACGCCCAGCCAAGGGAACTTTCTGAAGTTCATGCCCAGGTCTGTGGGAAGGCTCACTCCCTTCTGTGATGAGATGCAGTTTCACTGGTGTTCACTTGGGGCCGGCGGTGGTCAAACACTTTCACACCTTCCCTTCCCTTCTCCTCAGTAAGACCTACAGGTCCTGATGGATCGGACTTGCCCGAAGACCTTTCAGAAGTGACTTCCAAGGGTCAACACCCTCAAGATAAGACACCAGATTAGCCTTGGTTGAACCAGTATGCAGCGGGATCTTACTTTTGGAAGACGGTCTCACAGCTGGCTTAGTTAGTCACCAGCCTTCTGTGTCTTCCCTTTTATTTCACAGTTTACTTTCATTTCAAAGTATTACTTTGTTAGGGCTGCTATAGCAAGTACCACAGCTGGGAGCTTGCACAACAGAAATCTATCTCCTCTCAGTTCTGGAGGCTGGGAGTCCAAGATGGCGGCAGGGTCAATTCCTTCCAAGGCCTCTCTCGTTGGCTTGCAGATGGCCGTCTTCTCCTTTTGTCCACACACACGGTCTTCCTCGGTGTGTGTCTGTGTCCTAACTTCCTCATCTTATAAGGACACAAGTTATATTGGGTTAGCACCCACATGACCTTAATTTAACTTCAACATTTCTTTAAAAACCCTTTCTTCGGGGTGACTCGGTCGGTTAAGCTTCTGATTCTTGATTTTGGACCCAGTCATTGTCTCATGGTTCCTGGGAGCCCCTTGTCAGGTTCTGCGCTGACAATGCGGAGCCTGTTTGGGGATTGTGTCTCTCCCTCTCTTTGCCTCCCTCTGTCTCTCTCTCTCTCAAAAATAAATAAATAAAAGTAAAAAAAAAAAAAAAAAAGACCCTCTCTTCAAATCTGGTTGCATTCTGAGGTACTGAGGGTTAGGACTCCAGCATATGAATTTTAGGGGCACACAATTCAGCCCACGACAGCCTTCACGATGGCCTCCAGTCATCTTCACCTCCTGGGACTCACACCCCTTTGTGTTCTCTCCTCTCACAATGAATCAGAGGTGGTTTGTGGGGCCCATATGGTACGGCGGAGGTGACAGCGTGTGGCTTCCATTTGTTTCTCTGTATCACTTGCTCTGGGAGAAGCCACCTGACACATCACAGGACACTCAAGAGACCCACGGGAGGAGAATAAAGTCCTCCCACCCACAACCGCACCAACCCGCCCACCATACAAGCGATCCACGTTGGAAGCCCAGCCTTTAGGTGACCGCAGCCCCAGCCGGCCACCCATCTGCCACCTTACCAGAACCCAGGAGACCCTAAGCAACAGCCACCCAACCTAACTACCCCAGAATTCCTGCCCCACAGAAACTTTAACAAAAATAAATGTTTGTTTTTATTTCAAGCCATTAAATTTGGGGGGTATTCTGCTACATTGAAACAGAAAACTAACACATGTTTTGATACTTAAAAGGGGGTTGCTGGGGTAATAAGAAATTCTTAAAAATGTGGGCGTGGCTTTGGAACTGGACTTTGGGCATAAATTGGGAAGACATCGAGGAAAGTGTTGATGAAGGTCTAAGGCCTTGAAGAGCCTTCCAGCATCTGTAACCTCTGCACCCTGAGGCCAAGTGCATCTCAGA